TTTTAAGTTCATTTACAATTTTTTACTTTTATTTTAGTTTAATTTAATTTATTAACTTTTTAATTGCAATTTTATTTTGATTGATTACATTGGTCTTCAACTATATTTTTTTTGTGAACTTTTACTTTTTAAAATTAATTTTAAGGTAAAACTAATTTTATAAAGATGGTAAGTTCTTTTTTATTGTTAGAGAAACTGTAACATTTATCATATATTGTTTCAAATTTTTTTTTTTTGACAATTTCCTTTATAATTTCTACTACAATTATTAACATGTTTTAATAACTTGTACAATCTATCATGGACTATTTTGCTAACTGGAACTACTCTGTTTTAATTTTGATTTAACTTTTTAATTATTTTTCTATTAAAACTAATAAAATTTTTGTATAGTATATATTATTTTAAAATATTTTACAAAGTCTATAACTTATTTAGAAAAAAAAAACTTTCTAGATTAAAATGAAATTAGGTTAATAATTAATAAACCAATCACTGAGTTAAACCTAACTTAAAAAACAAAATGATTTATGTAATCCCAGCTAGGTACCCAAAAGGGGGTGAATTGGATCTTATCAATTGGAATTTAAAAACTTGTTTCTTTTTCTCTCAAAAGTTAAATCAAGGTTGCAATTGATAAGCTATTGTGCAGAATAAACAAAGAGTAATATAATCCATAAAAATAAAAGAAAAGGAAGAGAATATCAAGTTGTGATTTATAGTGGTTCCTCCAACTCAGAGTACGTCCACTCCCCAAGCCTCTTTGCTCGAGAGTTCAATCCACTAGAAATCTCTTGCTTACGGGTGTAAGATTAAATCGAAACAAATGCTTGCAGGTGCAAGATTAAACCCTCAGAAGTAAATCTTAACTTACTTAACCCCTTCAAGGATTATCCCAATCCAAGAAAAATACAAAACCCTTGTAAGACAATTAACCCAAAAGCTCACAAGAAGAAGAAGAAGAAGGAGGAAGAGATTTAGAACAGTTTCAAACTCTGTTTTCTGTAACACTAGAGCAGTTTGTCCTTCTTCTTTCATTTCATTTTATGATCTTTTTAATAGTAGGTTTGGAACCTTGCAATTAAAGTCCATTTAACCATTCAAAGCCACCTCACTAATGCTCCAATTAGATTCCACCTTATTCTACTAATTTTAACTTGACTTTGGAAAGTGCTCAGACAATTTGGTTCCCCCAAGACTCATTACACTACAAGAAAATTCACATTTAGTGACTAAATTATTGATCATTAAATCGTTATTTTTCATCACAAATTATTATTAGTGATAAAATTTAAACCGTTAGTAAAACCCTTATCACTAATGCTCTTAATGACAAATTAAGCACCTGTCACAGAAAATAATTTTATAGTGATAAAAAAAAATTGACATTATTAACAAGTTATTTATAATAATTTTATTCGTCACAAAAAAATATTCATCACAAATGCAATTATGATGCAAAATTTAGC